TTCATTCAGGATTGTGTTGTCTTTGTTCTCCCACTGTGTGGCTCGCGTCCTGTGGGCGCTGGTCGGTGGTAGGTGTTCTCTCTCCCTGCACTTTAGCTGATCTTGGTCAGAAAATCTAAATTGAAGTGTGATCATAGGTAAAACGCCACTGCGCTGCGCTCCTTCTCTTCCTCGTTCTGCGAGTGTGTGTGCATGTTTGTGGATCGGCAGGTAAGAAATTAACGCTCATAAGCTCCAGTTTGTTCCAGTTTTATTTAAAATGGTGACTAATTTTCGCAGGTCCCCCACAGTTGGACCATTGCTGCTCTGCTCTGTCTGCATTGGTCTCCCGGATCTCCGTTTGCTTTCATCTCCCGGATTTCTGCACAATCGTTTTAAAGTTGGACTGCGGCGGCGTCATCCGCCTTCATTGAAGCGGTGTTTGGGGTGTGGCATCGGCGAGCCCATTTCACCTCCTGCTTTGGTGCGGCAAGAGGGCCACGCCTGGTCCTGATGTTTTAACTTGTATTGTCTATCGTTAGTTAATTTCTATTTTGTTTACAGCCCTTTTTGTTTATTTAGTCGGGTTGATATTGTTTTATTTTGAGGTTTAAGATTGTTATATTGGTTAACTGTTTTTGTTTGTTTGCAGTTGCTGAGGTCCGGTGACGGTGTCTTCCTCTTCCGTGTGTTGTGATTCTTGAGTTTGGGTTGTCTCACTGCGTCTGGTGTTAAAGGTTTTGTTTGTTTGTTTGTTTGTTTGGTGGATGTCGTCCCCATAGCGCCCCCTCCGGCCGGTAACCTCAGCTACTGCAGCTCTTCTACTTTCTTTGACTTCCTTTGTTTTTCATTCTTAAACTGGTTTTAAAAAGTGCATTAAAAAAATAATTTAATAAATGGTTTTTATAAACTTTAAACTGTCTCGGATGTTTCAATCCTTCGCATAACCGAAACTGTGTGCCTTAAACAAAAGGTAATATTCTCTGGGTGAAATTCCCAGGGTGGTGGCGTTGAGCAATCTATTAAAACTAAAGTTCCACAAAAATCTGAGTTCCATCTAGTGTTGCCACAATTCTTTCATGCAAGTTTGAGAATTCCTTTACTCTCCTGTGGCAATGATGCGCCTGTGTGGTATAATGTTGCAATTTTGGTTACCAGTTGAACCGAGTCCAACCAGACTATGAGGCAAGAAAACAATCTTGGAGTATTCAGTTAACCTAGCTGTTATGTGTTTGGACGGTGGGAGGAAACTGAAGTATCTGGAGAGGGCCCACATGCAAACTTCATACAGAAAGACCTTGTGCTGCAAGACAACAATACTACCAAAAGTGCCATCGTGCAACCCCTCCCTAACCTTGGCTGATGAGGCAAAAATGGTTCTGGTAACGCATTGAGTTTTGTGTCTGTCATAACACTGTTATGACACACTGTTTGTGTTATGACATAGGGGTGGAGCCAGTAACATGTCAACTTCTAAATAAGGCCAACCAACTACAGGAGTGAGCACCCTTAAAATCTAAAGAGGCCCCAAATTAAACTGTGCTTAGAGCCCATATATCCTTGGACTGGCTCTGTTCTCTAATATAAATGTTTATTAGTCTCTAACATTATCTAATCCCTTAGATTTAGCAGCCTTTTTATGTCTAGATCATTTATTGGTTAAAGCTAACAGGCGTTATATTATGAAAATGGTGTCAAGTTATACAAAAGTTAAAATTGTGAGGGGTAATGTCTGCTTCTGTCAGTATTAAGTGTGAGATTGGCAGGTGCCCAAGAAAACTACATTTCCCAGGGTGCTCCGGTCCAGCGCAGACCTGCCCCCCTTCGTTTGAATGGCAAGTTGTTTGTTTCACTCCGACCAGCTGCTAACTATTCCAGTCCGTGAGCAAACATGGGGAGCAGCGTACCTTAGCGCAAAAAGCTACTGCAGAAATGCTAAAGAGTCTCTTCCGCTTTCATAGGTTTTCTTCAAAATAAAGGTACATTAATAAAGAGCGTGGAATTATGTAGTTATCCAGTCACCAAGTTACTAATGATTGTAATGAAGACAATGTACAACAATTAGGCCACCACTTTATCTAATTGTTTCCATTTTTGTTTTTTTGTTTTTATATACAATTTGTATCATTTGGTCTCGCACTTTGTACTTTATTTTGGTTCAGTTGCTATTGTTTGCGTGGTTTGGATGTTTCAAAAATAGGAATTTCTGTCATACATTAACAGAATGTCATCAGAGGCTTCTTCAGACTTACTGTAATACAGACAGCTATAGGAAAATTTCATATACACAACCATAATTATCTACAACAACTCTTTGATTAAATTTAAATGTATAGGTTACATTTAGTATCCATAATGAAGTTTTTTTTTTTCTAATTAAATATTTTTGAATTAAAATCCAACATGGCTGCTGTCAATAGCATGAAGCTAAAAGTTACAGAAACTAACTTTAAATTTGTACTTTTGATTGTTTCTAATTAAACCAAACATCAATCTGTTTGACTTTTCCCCAACTTTCCGAGTATAGACAGAAAGCACCATAAGAACTTTAACAATTGGGAAACAGTTGAACATTGCATTTTCTAGCAGCAGTTGTAACTGGCTAATTGGCTTACCGCCAGCTTACTTTAAAAACAAATCATAGTTATTACATTATTATGTGATTACAGTGATACTGATATAGCTCCATTTGAATTTAAAAAGTTTTCTTGATTAAAAATTGTATTGTAAAAATTGTAATCTATTCATTTGTGTATTTAAGCCCAGGTAAAACCAGATGCTAACTTTAGCATATATTCTGTTTGAGGGACTGACAAGAATAATATATTTATTGTAAAGTGAATAGTATATTTAGGTACTACATAGCTAATCGGTTTACATAAACAACCCAAAATGATTAATTTGACGTTTTATGACTGAAACGTTTCATTTTTGGGTAATTTAAGCCGCTTTTACTTTGAAAAGCACCGAGCGGAAGTGGTGTGGGGTTCCGCTGTGGGTTTGACATTAGGTCCGGGTTTTACCTCAGCTTTCTTTATTCCACCCTACCTCCCCGTTTCTTTCCCTGTTTAATGCGCCCCAGCCTGCCGTATGTGTCTATTTATTTATTTATGCTTTCTGCCTCACAGTATTTAGTTATTTTGTTTTAAGTTTTAGAGGTTCCTCCAATGAGAAGGCGTAAAAGATGGAGCTTCATATTTTAGAGCACAGCCTGAAAGTGGCAAGTATAGAGAAAGAGGGGATCGAGATTTGCACCCATGGATTAATAAAACTCGCCTTCCTGGCCTCCAAAACAAGGTAGGCAACTTCAGAGTGGTGTTATCCGTGTAAAACTGTTTTCATGTGTGTTTTATGTGCTTTTCCTGCTGCTGCTGATAACCTAGCCAGCAAACACCGGGGGTTGCATCTTAAAGGGTGTTTACTGGAGCTGCAGCTCGCTCCTGGAGTTGTGTTAATGCTCCAAACATGCTGCTTTTAGGTGTTATTGTCAGAGCAGCTCACAGTTTCAGGGCCTGTCCGGCTTGTGGAGGGTTATGACGAAGCTTTGTGGATCGACGCCGGTGTTGGTGTTTATGTTGTTGCTTTCTGGCTTCTGTCAGGGTAATTTTAGCCTGATCTGGCAAAGTTCTGCATGCAGATGAGGGCATTTTAAAGGCGGAAACTTTTAATGTAGAAGATCCGGTCGTCATGGCCGTAAATGGCAGGATGCGGGCCCTGGGTAAAAGCTTGTTTTGGTGCTCTACCCTAGTTGCAACTGGTATACAAATAATGTTATGTTGGCTTTTTATATGTCCAAATAAAGCTTTAAACTCCTTATGCAACCCACCATTACCAAATTATTAGAATCAAATTATGTAAAGTATGTATAGAAATAAAGTGTGCAAGCACAAGTGTTTTTTAAAATAGTATAACCCGAGGTTTTAAAAAAAATCATAAGGCTAAAAATATAGCTTAATGACTTGAAAATTGAATAATAGTCAAAGAAATTGAAATCGTAAAATAGAAAATGAGTACTTTAATTATATTAACCAGTCCAAAAGTGATGATTGTTCAAAAATAATTAATAAAAGAATAACAAGTTTGTCAATAGTAATTCCACAAACTGACTTTCTTCTTTCTTTAAAATGTTCTGTTTCATTCATTGCTAAGCAAGTAAAAAAAAATATCACAATAAGTCAGACTATTTTGGTGAGCATGTCAAGATGCTTGGACATCACTGATTTATCGCATCAGTTTATATATCATATCTTTCTAACATTAACAAGCATTATTGATAAAAAAAATTTTAAACTGAAAAAAATGCAATATTTTGGACTATAGACTTGAACATACTTTTTTTATTAGTATTTAACATTTAAGTCTGTAAATTGTCAATATAAAATTTGTTGTTCTTAAACAACAATATTTTTGATATCTTGTCAAATTGTCTAACAGTTAAATTTGTAAAGGTGATCATTTTCTGACTTTTATTGTATTTCAGGTTTTTAAGGAGTTTGGTTTCCATTAAAAGTTGAACATATTGTTCCTTATTTTTGAAAAAGAAGGCCAACTTTTCTGTCAGTGTATTTAATTATGAACATTTCATTTTTGAAGTAATATGTTTTTCTAGCAAAATTAGGACTATTAGAAGTCACTTAACTGATATTTATTATAATAATTATCATTTGTTGAACCCGCCATGGCATTGCATAACATTTTTAAATTGCCATCTTTTTAGTTATTTTCTGTTAAGATTTTCCCAGGTTTCAATGTAAACAAACCTCAGAAACATTGTGACTAACTTGGTTTTTAATCTGCGCTCTCACAGAATGTTGCAGAAAACTTGTCTAACACCCATTCATGAGAGTAATAGTACTGGTTTTTACTTCTGGTTCTGTTGTGGCTGGTGTCTTGTAATTACCTCTCTGTCCTTCTGTGTGGTGTCCCAGATAAAACTTGGTGCTGCTGTGATTAATCGCTGATAAAACACAATCCCTTAAGGTTAATCTTTACCTGACGGCATCAAAACTGCCTGAAGTTGCATTGTAGCCAAATGCTGTTAGTATTGATTACAGTTTGGGGACCAATAATATCTGAAGATTTATCTTTCTCAGCTGATCTAATCAATCGTCATCTCAAACTACTTATGCTAGCAACATTCTCCAAAGAGCAGTCTGTAAGATCAATCAATCAACCGATAAGACTTTATTTATAGAGCACTTTGTGTGTAATCAAATCTAAGGCAAAGAGCTTTTGTAGAATTTCAAGAAAAAAACAAGAAAAATGGTAAGTTACAGGTGCAGTATGGTAACTTCTATAAAAATGTTTTCTTTATATATTGGTAAAAACTGTCAGCATGTCGTGAGACAGATAATCTGTAAAAACATGGATCCTCTCCACCTCCTCACTGAGCTATTATTACTGTCTGTAGAAATGCACCACTCTTGACCAAAAACAACCAATCAGAGCCAGGAGGAGGGTCTTACCGCTCTCAAACACATGTACCTGCTGCTAAATGTGCTAATGATAGAGAAACAACTTACTGTTACAGAAAAACCATTCCTCTTCCATCATGGTGGCTATGCCAACTAGCCTTAGCGTACCAGAGAGTAAGGGATGAGCAGCGGCACAAAGAAGTGATTGACAGCGCTAAGACCTGCCTCCTGGCTCTGATTGGTTGTTTCTAGATATCACTGGGAGAAGGAAGGGGAGCTCAGTTTTTTTTTTCTTCCACAGATTGTCTCTCATATCAAACTGTTAACATGGTGACAGTTTCAAAAACCTATTGAAATTAATATATTTTAATAAAAGTTATATACTGCAGCCTTAATAAGAGTTTGGAAATATTCATATTTGCTGACTTTTTTCTTTCTCCCATTATTTAAATGTTGTCTTTCTTTCTTTTTTCCCTTCTTTTAACTCTCTTGTATACTTTCTGCCATCCTTCATGTCTTTTTCCTTGGGTCTTATCTTCTCATTGTATCCAACTTTCTTTACTCCCTTCTTCATTGTGTTTCTTATTTTCATATCTATGTCCTTCATCCCTTCCTTGTGTCCAATCTTTCTTTCTTCTGTCTTTCTTTCCACTTTCATAGCAATATTCCCAGTTAAACCCCATAATTAAACCCTCCTTCGTGCCCTATGCTTAATATACGAATACCTATTGGCAATGGTTTTATTGTCAGCTTCCTTGACTTCTGATGTTTCAGACAGGAAGTAAGAAGAAGTGCTTTTGCGTTTTGTTTTTTTTTAAATTGATATTGATTCTCATATTAAGTTACTGCAGTTAAACAGGCCAGGCTGCCTGAAATAAACTGGAAAAACTAACCTTTACAACTTATGATAAACTATAAACAATGACCATTTGTTTTGCAACCATGAGCACTTGATGCTCTCTGGAGGTCATCTTCCAACTTTAATTTCCACTGCATTTGAAATGGTAACCACTACTTTTTGGGAGTTTTCTGAAATGTTTAGTCTTTCCCTTTTATTGTTAGGGTTTTTCACATGATAAAGATACAAACGTCAGTGTATTTTGTTGGGATTTTATGTAATTGACCAGAAGTGTACAACTCTGGTCCTCTGGAGCTTCTTGCTTGCAGCTGGATGCATCCCTGCTCCAACACACCTGAACCAAATGAATGGCTCGTTACCTGATGAGGGAATTGGGCTAATATTACCTGCTAGCTTAACAATTAGCTTCACTTTTGCTGTAAAAATGACCTTTTTTTCTGCATCAAAAGTCCGCCTCATATGCGCATAAGTTAAATTTGCAGTTTGCAAAATCACAAAATCTTAGTATTTTTGGTCTGGTTCCAGTGTTAATGTCTTAGCACTTGTATGTAATAAGACAAAATTAGCAAGCTATAGGAGCGTGTTTTAAATATGGCCTATTATGCTTCCTTGAAGTTAGGATAGATCTATGGCCTATACAAAACATGTTGATTACATTTGTTGTACAAAATAATTCTGCTAATGAGATTTAAGTTCTGCCTATTTTGAGCTCCTTACTGTTACTGGGTGCAACTCAACAACAAAGCACTTTTCCAGCAGCCATTGTACAGCACATTCCGTAGTAAAACTAGTTGGCCAAGAGTACTGAAGCTCTGCTTGGGTTTCTATGTGACGGGCAGCACCTGCTAATTTGTTATGTTACATCTGGAAGGTTTTTGAAATGGCACATTTTCCAGACATCAAAAAACAGATGAGTGTTTTTTATTTGTTTGTTTTTAAGCATTTAGTTTGTTTTTTTTAAGCAGTAGAGACCCAAATGGAAGTATAAAAACACAAAATCAGAATTTTACATAATAGGCCCCCTTTAAGTAAATCATTTTTTGTTGATTTTAAAGCAAATACTAGATCCACTGGGAGATTATTTCACTAAAGCATTGGGAAAAATGTATTTTAAGTGAAATACTCTCCCTGTGGATCTAGTACTTTTTCATCAATATTAAGAAATTATTTACTTGAAACAAGCTCCTATAAATAGCTTAAAAGTTACTTGTTATTGGTGTTTTATTTCAAGTGTACTGAGGTATTTGCACTAGACACTAGACCGAAAACATTTGGTAGGATTTTGTTTTTGCAGTGTGTAAGTTGAAAGATGAGACAAGAACATTTCTTGAACAAAGTCAAGTTCCTCCCATATGAGACTTGATATTTGGGTCCATTTTTTAAGTGATTGCATGCTGCTGGCAGCCATCCAGATAGGATTACATAAGTTCATATAATTTGACTGCAGGGCCCGAGTTTTCATTGGTTCACACTGGATTTTTTTTGTTGTTTTTCCCTGTTGTTCCACTGAGGCACCAATGTTGAAGTGGCTCCTCTCTGATGAGCCTCTTCAAGTGTTTTCTTTCATCTTTAGAGAACATACAGTCTGTTTTTGCAGATATTGATTTGATTTCTTTTCAAATCTGCGGTTAAGAATTGAAAACCCAGTTTGTCTTTTTTTTCTTATTTCTTCTTTGAACCCATTCACAAAATGAAATCTAAAAAGATCATGGAAAAGTCTTTAAGTGCTGCTCTTTCAAAGGAACACAATGGAAACTCGGCAGCAGGTGATTACAGAAAGAAAAAGAAAAGTGCTATGTTTTTCTGCTGCTGTTTACAGCGTCTTATTTTACTCTTAAACAAGCTTCCACTCTGTTCTCTGTTACCTGCTGATCCTCCTAATGCAGGGCTCCTCTTGGCCAAAACCTGAATAAATCTGAGCAGTTCTTCTTCTTCTTGTAGTAATGTTTAGTTTCAAAAGTTTTGCAGCGTTGCCATAAAATATTTGCCCAAACGTTTTGCAATAAAATGACATCAAGAGAACAAGGATTATATTTTCTTTTGTTGGGGGGGAGATGCTATAAACTAGATTTGGACTTTTTTTTGGCTGAAATGATTGTGATGAATCAATTATTGAAATAATTACTAATTTACTAATTCATTTCAGGACTCAAAAAAATTTCAATTTGTTGAAACCAGAGCCATAATTAAGCCAAAAAGGCTTCTGTTGGACACTTGTTGCAGAAAACGTGATTTATTTATTTATTTTTTAATTGCTGTGGGGCACAGAGTGACTGGATATCTTATTGATTTTAATGAGATTTATTGATTCTTTCACTGGATCTACAGAAGAGAACATGAATTTAAATAACAATTTCAACAACACTTTAAATTGTGGAGATTTTCACATATTAACAGTAATTTTGCTGCTACAAATCAAAATTCCCATGAGAAATTTTATATAACGATAAATTGTACATTTTTTTTAATTTTCCCTCAATGTATTGCTTAAATTTTGTTAAAAAAAAAATAAAAAAAAAGAAAGAAATTCTTTCTAAAACCTTCCGTAAAAATATAAATATTATTTAATTTATCCTTAAAGTGAATCCAGTTTAGTGAGCAAAGACCAACCTTATTTAGTGGGAGTGATGTAGAGTATGATTATTTGTTTGTTAAAAACTGGTGAAAGCTTCCTGAATCTTTTGCCAGATTCAGGGAAAGATTCTGAAAAGCGTGTTGAAAATCTCCATGAGATAAATGTTTGATCTGGACTCTGGCTCGGTATCGTCCCGGCCGCTGACGAGTTCAGAGCAGCTCCTGGAAGATAAAGATCCTGATTACGGTCAGGCGCTTGCAGCCTGACTCCAAATGAATGTCAGCACCTCTGCAGAATCAGCAAATCACTCGATACGACTTAACAGCTTCAACAGAGGAATGTGTCCTCAATTTGTTTCTCCCAGAAAGACCTGAAATAATACAGAAATCCATGCTTTAGTTACTTTTATGACAGAATTTTATAATTTTTTAATAAAATTTATTTTTATATGTTTTTTAAAATATGTTTTAAATATAAAAAAAATATTTGCATTATTTTATGTACAGTATAATAAATAAAATTAGATTTATTTTTTTATAAATAAACTAACAATGTATATCTCACAGAAGTGATGACTGAAGTAAAAGCCACTTTTTGAAAATAATTTTTCATTTGTAATTTTATTTAAAAAAATAGAAAAAATAAAAAATAAACAAAAACAATATTAAAATCTGCTTAAGAGGCACCTGAAGGTACTGCATTTAGAAGTACTTTCCTTTTCTGTCTTAAATTAAACCATCCAAGTTGTTTTTTTGCTGTTTTTGTTTTTTAAAGTTTTTAAAAAAAATCCTCATTATATACTCGTGATGATTAAACTCTGTTTTAATCACTGTTCTCCACGATGCTGTAATTTAACCCAGAGCTGTGAATCGTGTGTGTTTGGGGATCATTTAAAGCCTGCATGTGAAGTTCCTAACATGCTCACAGAGTGAGGCTTATGCCAGCCAGACGTGCAGCGGCCGCTTCCTCCTGAAGGCGAATGTTCAGCGTCTCTGCAGTGGTTCTCCTGTCTCGTGTTAATCTGAATGCAGTCATGTCAAAGAGTAAACAAAGTCATTAAACAGAGCTTGCATTAATATGATAAAAGGAGAACGAATCTACCCAGACCAGAGGGACGACGCTCGGTCCTCGTCATCTTTAATGTCCCCGTTCGACAAAACAAGCCGTAAATCAGGGTGACGTGTGACAGCTCGTCTAATTCAAGAAGGAAATCAGCTTTTGTTCACAGGCAGAGCTGTTAGAGCCTCTGTGTTGATGTCTTTCTGTTCCTTCACACCGTTCAGACAAATATAAAGTGTAAATATTGAGCGGCAGGCCGGCGAGCAGCGAGGTTATCACCAGACTCATGTTGATGCTGTTTCCCTGTCTGTTCAAGGACATGATGGAAAATCTCTGCTTCTGCTGAAACATGGGTTAAAGTGAACAAAGTGCACTGAAAACAGCTTGTTTGTCACTTAGTCTTTATTGATTTTACATTGTTTTAACACAGAAAACATGGGGCACATTCAACTACTTGCTGGGTAACATTTACCTCAGTTATTATTTAATAAAAATTCTCCATTTTACCCATTTTCTGTCCATTTGTGTAGTTTGTAGTTTCAATTATAAACATTTTCTCCGCTATTGCAGTCTATTGGTTCCTTCATTTTCTCCAGTTCCTCATCATTGCTTTCTTTACCTCCTACACTAATATTACACTAATTAGATTATCTCACTAAGATTTAAACAACAGCTGTAAGCTCAGCTGGTGGTGAAGTCTAAAAAACTTAAACTACTCAAACCAAGATTGTTTTACCTCAATTATCATTTTCTGTTTGACCTGTTCAGTTCTTCAGAACAATGCCCCATTGAGCCATCTATTATTATATTTATAACCAGGATGTTAACATTCACTCCCTGAGAACCATTGGTTCGACCTCATTTGTTAAGCCAAAAAAGAAAATTGATTAAATGATCAAATTTATGTATTAAAAGCTTTGCCTTTTTTGTTGGGGACGCCTTGCATCTTTTTAGGTTAACTTCCCAGCTTATCTAATTCCTTTATGAATACTTAAAACAGCTGAAGCAGCTCTAAGTGTTATAATAATATTTACCGGGGTTCTTTTTGGGGGTTTTTCTGTTTCAGATGCAAGTTCTTCAGTTTGACGGAGACTCCAGAGGACTACACTATCATCGTGGACGAGGAAGGATTTAAAGGTGGGCCTCTGTCTCTAAGAAAGTTGCCTTGGTAACCGTGGATGGGGATCGTGTTGTATTTTCTCTAATCGCGTCCAGCGGCGGCGACTTCGGCTGCCACTGTTTGAGCACACTCTGTCGTTATAGATACGAGGCCAATTGGCCAGCCGCCGTTCTTTGCGGCCGGCTGAGTGAACGAACCCGTGTCATTATGCCGCCGTTTCCACAGTGACCCTCCTCAGTTACTCTGGAGACACATGCTGTGTGTTGCATAACTGCTGCAGGTATTTTACACTGATAAGTGTGTGTGTGTGTGTGTGTGTGTGTGTGTTTTGTTGGACTAAGAAACGGGGTGAAACTCAAGCAAGCCGTGTCGGATGACATCAAGTAAACAGAACACACGGTTCTGACCGGACCCTGACAGAACGCTGCCAGTGGTTACAACCAAGAGCTTTTTGTGATTTTTACTTTTTTTTTCTTCTTCTTTTTTTTTTTATTGTTGTGTTTAAAGCTGCAATTAAGGATTTTATAAGTAATCAATGATTCTGTCGATTATTCTGATGATTAATTGAATAATCGGATTAATAAAAAAAAGTGGTGCATTTTGCAGATTTTCCATTTAACTGTTTAAGTTTTTTTATGCGAAATGAGAAATACGCAAAAATATGAAGATAAAATGACTGAATTCCTTTTTTGAATAATAAACATTTTACCACCTATGATGCAGTTACAGCATTTTCTTAGTGAACGTTTGATCATTTGTAGCAGAGGATGCAGCTAAAAAAATATTCAACATGTGAAAAGACCAGACCTTTCTGCTTGACTTAACATAACGACTGGTCTATTGATTAATTTTTGAATTATTTTATCAAATTTGCGAGAACTATGTAAATATGTTTTTGCCAAGTTGAAGAAGTTTATATATATATATATATATCTTAACTGCAAAATGTGTATATTTTTGTACAGTTTTGGCTTAATTGCCGCTCTCAGAATGTTTTCTTTCAGCAAACATTTCCTTTTTTGAATCTGAATACTGCAGTTAATCCTTAATCAATTACTAAATTAGTTTACAATTATTTAAAAAAACAATCATAATCAATACGATTAATCGTTTCAGCCCTACTTGTTTCTTGAAATGATCAAGCTCCACTCAAATCTTTGTGACTTTGAATGAAATTAGATATTTATAAAACATTTATTAAAGAAGTGATTTAAAAAGTAAAACTTGTATTAAAAAGCTGATTTCTGCACCAGTGTGGCCAGAGATCCAAAATAAAACAATTATTTCCTCTGTCTGGATGCTGTGCAGCCGGAGGGATTTTTGCTCTTTCTTTTTTCTCTTTTACTTTCGGACACTTGTTATATGATGCAACCGTGGCAACAAGATGTTTTTAACAACCGGGAGCAGCTGGTGAACTTCTTGAAGCTCAAATAACACCTGAACTTTGACCCCAAATCCCAGAGGAGTTAAAAAAGGAGGCTTCATGGATGCAGAGCAGGACCAAAGAGTTGAGAGAGAAGGAGGATGTTCTCACCATGCCCCTGACTCCGTCTTTCTAAACAAAAGGCCAGACAGAGATTTTAAAGAGGAGTGGCAAAAGCAAATGAGGTGGATTAGCAGCGCTTGGTGTCATCCAGAGCATGTTGCTGTGGAAATATCGTCTTCTCTGCCTTGAAATTGAGCTGTTAGCATGTCATCCAGCAACAGTCTTTAGGCAGAGGCTTCTTCAGATTCATTGCAAGACTGACGGCTACTGGAGATCCTTCTTGGCCGCAGCATCACCAACCGCAACAACTCTTTGAAGATATTTGGATCATTAAATAATTCCTTCTGGAATTATCTTTGAATTTGAATTGAAATGAATTTTCTCTTAATCAGCTCTGACTCGTGACTTTCCTGTTTAAGTACAGAAAATCTGTAAAAAAAACATTATCTTTTTGATTTAGCATTTATGTGTTGTCAGTAAGAAGACACTGTCCATTCACTGGTGATCCAAACACATTATCCACATATGACAATGCATTTTACTTCAAAAGCTCATTTTGTGTTGGTAAAATGTGTTTTTAAAGTATTCGTCTGCTTTGAGAAACAATAGATGGTTTTAGTAACATATAAGGATTTATGAGTTTTTATTGTGTGCAGGTGATTTCTCACCTGTTAGAAATGGACTCAATTGGAAAATTGCAACTTTTGCTACCTTTTCAACTGGTGCATTTCACTTTCACAGGGCACTGCGACGGTATATTAGGGCCATTCTATGTAGGGAGAAAAAAAGAGTATATTTCTAACAAAACTAGAAACAAGGACATTTCTGAACTTCTGAGCTTTAAAAGTCTACTTTTGAAACCGAGAAATTTCTGAGTTTTTTCTAGAAAATCTTTGACGTTTCAAACACAGAACTTTCCAAGCTTTTTTCTAGAAAATTTCCAAGTTGTTTTTTTAACGGAAATTTACTCTTCCCTTTATTGTCTGCATTGACCCTAAAACTTGTCGTACTACACTTTAAAAAAAAAAGAAAAAACATGTTCCCCTCCTCGCCTATGGGGCGGTGCACCAAGAACCACTGAAGGAAACGTCAAAAACCTCTAAAGAAGACACTGAGCACTACGTCCTTCTTCATAAAAAGCAAACAAAAAGGAGTGGCATCAGATTATAGCAGCTGTTGGATTTCTCTTTTGTGTCAGGCTAAAAGAACACAACCCATTTCTCCCGCTAGCTCTAAACTCGTTCGTCTGTTTTGATTGGATTTACCCAGAATGCCCTGCACTCTAGCCTGCTTCCTGCTTTTGGAGTGGTGTCCATGCCCAGGATAGTTGTTTGAAAACGTCAGACTCCAGTTGCTTCCACAGAAAGGATGAATAAAAACTCTTTCCCCCTCTTCCTCAGAGCTGCCTCAGTCAAATCTCATCAGTGTTGCCGATTCAACATGGCTGGCGCTCAATGTGGTTTCCGGCGGCGGCAACGCTTCCAGCTCACAGCCTATCGGCGTCACCAAAATCGCCAAATCAGTCATCGCGCCACTGGCCGACCACAACATCTCTGTTTTCATGCTGTCAACGTATCAGACCGACTTCATCCTGGTGAGTGTCCTTTCTGACCGTCATAGTGCCGTTTCTTTTATTTAAGGGAAGTCAGACTCCATCAGAATGTTTTAAAGCGATGCTGATCTGTTGTTCCTCCGGCTCTATGAAGGGATGTTCAAGTTTTTATTCGTACTTTTGCTTCTTTCTCACTCATTGCCGTCATGTTGGTTATGTAGAAAATGAGAATATAGAGGGGCCCAACATATTAGAGCTGCAGTGGAAGGAATTTACTTTGGAAACAGAATATGGAAGATTTATGAATTTTGAAGAAACTCTCTGAGAATTTGTCTCTGATATTAATAAAAAAAATTCATTTTTTTTGTAGAGAAGTTTGTTTTGATGTGTAGTCAGAAATAAGTTTGGGTTTGATGTGATTCACTGAAACAAACTTTTCATCATTTTCATAAATATAACTTGTTTCAATTGTTTATGTCCAGATTTACAGCGTCTGGTTTCTTCTGGTGCAGAATTATGACATGTCTCACATCTATGATGTAACAGTCGAATAAGATGCGACATGAGCATTTATGCTCCAGACCCTTTGAAAACTATCGGATATTTATCCGATGTACTTCCACATATGGAAGTGGAACAAATCGGTTTTTTTTGTTTGTTTTTTTTGTCTGTTTTAAAAGATCGGAATTGGGCCGTTCAGGTGAGAGTTGAATATGGGTCACATTTACCTTCTGTGTGAATGTCGGCATCGTCTCCCTCTACAGTGATTGATGTATCCAAGCATACTCACAAAGTTTAGTGGAAGGAAAAAGTGCTTGAAAGGACTGGAATTAATCTAGAATTACTGTTTCTAGATTAACTTTTGATGCTGTTTTACTTTGAAATGCGTCTTTATTGCAGGTAAATTAAAAATGTTTAATTATCCACAGAACCAGCTGTGATGTCATCCCTCTCAGCCACTAGTTTGGAGACATTAAAGGAAACGTTTGGATGTGATTAAGCTGATGATGATGATGATGATGATGATGATGATGATTTTGATTTAAACTGAACAGGTTGCCATCACGTCATTCATGCTGGCATAAAGCTGGTTAGCTTTACAGCCTGCTGTAACTGTTGCATTATTTGTCTGTTATGCAACCACTGGCAGGCTGTTGTTTACATCCACAGAGCCCGCATGAAAAAGGCAATAACAGTGGATGAGATGAGCCGATGACTGACTGTCTGATTTTTAAATTGGAAGGAAATCCTCTGGAGTATCCAGAGGGACTCTTTGTTTTTACTGCCTCAGTCCTGTGGAAAAACAAGGTCTGCTGACCCACTGCAGCTTCTGTTTTTTTTTTTTTTTAAATGGGGGGAAAATAATGGCTGTGTGCGTTGATAATCTGTTACATAAAGAGGATCAGCAGCTCAGCTTCTTGGAAACCAAGGTACCGAACTCAGACCTGCTTCCTGTCTCCACTCTGCCTGCTTTACATAAAACAGACAAATGTTTACCGCAACGTTCCCCACATCAACTCCTTAACGTCTGACATTGATTTACTGTAGATTTCCAACCAAATCTTTATGGAAGCCAAAAAACAAATCGGATTAAAATCTGTTTTCACTGTTATGTTGCTTCGTGTTAAGATTATTATTCAAATATAACCTAAAATGTCCCTACTGGATGTGATTGCATCATTTCATCTAGGAATAAATGAAAATTAAGTATAGAAAAGTCTTTGATATATTTCTTATTCTATAATCTGAAACAAAAGTAGATTTTTATATTGATTTATATGCATGAGATGGAAGAAGTTGGCCTGAGCTATGAATATTAAAGAAATTTTTACTCTGAATTACATTCAATCCCCTTTTTATTTGGGTTTCTAATCCTCATTTGGACCCTCAGACAGATTGTAAATCCTAATCAGACTAAAATATTTCTACTGAATCTGAATTAGCCTCATTAATTTAAATATTTCTGCTTTATTGTTTGTGAAAATATAAGAAAACATGCCAGCCTTTCATACACACAGAAAAACTAGGTATTCTAATGTTTTTTGTGACTAAAGCATATTTAAATGCATTTCTATTGCTTTTTGAGGATAACTGATTATGAGCTAAAACATTATATATTGGAACATAATAAACAATTATTCTGTTTTTTCCTGTTTTTAATTACACATTTTATGGAGAAAATATTTAGTTTGTGAGTGCATTTGCAAGCGGCAAGTTAAAAAAAAAAACAAAAACATATGTTTTCAGAAGCTGTAAAGCTGGAAACCAGTGAGAAGCCTTTAGTTACATTAAGACTTGGTTAAAATGATTTAATCAAGTTAATTGCAGGATCTGTAATTAAACTGCAATTTAATAGAGAATTGTATACTGTCAAAATAAGCAACATTTTCAATTTAAAAACTCATTTTTGCTGCTAAATTATTGAATAAATAGACATATTAGCTCAACAACAAACACATTTGTTTTTAACCTGTTATTTAGTTTATCCAACCATCAGTTTGGTGTAAAGAGTTTCAGGATCTCCTGGTCATTCATGGAAGTTTAGAAACGTGGACGCTGACATTAGCATTAGTCTGTGCTGCTGATACCTAGTTAGCACTGAGATGCTATTTTAGGCTAGAATAGCTTCGCTGTTTAGCTAACTCATTTTAGCACAACTAGAACAACAGCATTGTGTATTTTCATCCGTCATAAAGCAGTTAATTCTTCTTTGTGACGCAGAAATGAACTCGGGCAGAAGCGGCTTTGTCGCCATTTGTGGACATAGCTTGTGCATCTGATTTACGGGCGTAGCAGAAACGTGAATACAAAAGTTACAGTAACATTTTGTAGGCATTAAAATTTAATTAATTTATCAAAGTTAAAGCTTTAATGTCCTTGATTTAGTTTAAATCAATTCCATTAGGTTTTTTGGGGTTGATTGAAAATTATCTCAAACATTAGACATTGGAACATTTTTAATAGAGAAGAGTACTTTTTTGTTTATTTTATTTCTTTTTTATAAACATACTTTTCTGGAAAGAATATTTAGCTTTTGAGCTTTTGTAAGCACAGTTTCCAAGTGAAGGGTGAGTTAAAGAAAATTAAGTTTTCAGGACCTTTAATCTTCACCCCTTAACCTTAAGTCAAACTAAAGTTTTTGCAACTTTTTCTCTGAATTTCTTTGATGTTTTTATTTCCCCCCCCCCCATCAGGTCCGAGAGCGCGACCTGCCGATGGTCATGCACACCCTGTCTTCCGAGTTCACGTTGTTCCGGGTTGTCAATGGAGAAACAGTCGCCGCACACAATCTGGGAATCTCCAACGGATTTGTGAAGCCAAAACTTGGTAGTTATTTTTTTTATTAGTAATTTTTTTTTAAGCTGATCTCACCTAACCACTGATGTTTTGTCGTGTGTTAGTGCCCCGCCCCATCATTCACCCTCTGTCCAGCCCCAGCAACATGTTCTGTGTGACCAGCTTGGACCCAGACACACTGCCCTCCGTCGCCACGCTGCTCATGGATGTCATGTTCTATTCTGGAGGGTAAGACACTCACTACGCCATGGCCTCAACGTATCCCGAAAGGGTTCAACTCTGAAGCTGATCAGGAAGAGAAGCTGTTTTCTGGAGCTCAGTCTAAACAGGAAGCTAACATGTTGCTGCTTTTAGAACCAAAAGGAAAAATCTTTTAGTCGTTTGACCAAATCTGATAATAGATTGCCTGAATAAAACAATAAAATAGATTAATAAGTGACTAAATCCACATTCTCCTTTTCCAAGCAGATAAACTAAGAGAAAAAACAACCACACATTTAAATTTCCTGCTTTGACTCTCAAATTTTCTCTATTGCAGTGAAACACCAGGTGCCTGAAATAGTTTCTATATAGACATATTTGATCAAATATCTGTAAAATCTAAAGATATTAGTATACTTGTGAAGTATTATAGTCACAATAAAAAAGAAAGTACACCTTCTTTCACTGAATCCATCTAATTATAATAAAAAGTTATACATATTACTATTGCAATTTTATGATTACAAAGTGATATAGTTTTCTTTTGGATGTGTGCTTTAAAATTAATACTATATACTATAAATTAATACTATATATATATATATATATATATATATATATATATATATATATATATATATATATTTATATATAAAATGCATATATAAACACTATGCATTTTATAGTGTTTATATATATATATATATATATATATATATATAAACACTATAAAATACATCTGAAAATATAAAATTGATGGCAACAAGTATGGTTTTATGGATCTGCTTTATCTTATTCACCTATCAAAGCTCCAGCACATCTGTTTTACTTCTTTATGAACCGTACAATGGCACTGGAAAAGACAAGCGTTTAGTTGTCGAATTATTAACCAGAAACCACTTTCTTCATTCTTTCTGGTTTGTGCAGGAGGCTCTACTTCTGCTTTTCAAAGATGTACGGTTTACAGTTGCGCGTCTATTTGCAAGGTTAAACGTTGAGTTTAGACTCAACGTTGTCACTTTATTTTAATTTAAAGTGAAAAGACACCATAAAATGGCTCCTTCTGAAAATAGGCAGAACTGATCAGACTAAAATCTGATTATATAAGAATGAGTTGGTGCAATGAAATGTAATATGTTTTGTATGGGTCGTAGACCTCAGGTTACCTTTAGGCATGAAAACGAGCTGGATGTGACCATAAGAGACGTTGAGTTCCTGAAGGTTTCAGTTTCTTCCCCAGGTCAAAAGAGGTCGGGGCGTCCGGCGAGGACTCCAGTCATATCCGCTTCTTCTCCTTCTCGCTGATCGAGGGCTACATCTCTCTGGTCATGGACGAACAGACGGCTCAGAGGTGAGCACAAATAAAACTTAATTATCTTTCTTTTTCCCTGAAAATCCCACTCGTTTCCTCAAGATGTTGTTTTTCTCTGCTAAAGGGGTCGTTACTTTTATGTCGGGGGAATAAATTCATGATTGCTATTTGAGGGGGTGATTAGCTTGTTGCTAAGCAATAACGAACCTCTTGGGTGGATGCGGTGTACTTAAATCACAGTGGGTGTCGTTCTGACTCATTCCTTCTCCACCGAGTCCCCCATTTTCTCTCCATGAACTCCCTCATTAAGCTTGGAGCCCATGCAGAAAAGCATCCGGCTTCATGTTCCACCTCGTCCCTAACGGCCTAATCAAAGCCCGGCCATTCAGAACCAGAAGTGGACATGTCATTGATGCCTTAACTGAAATCATAACAAAAAAATCATTTAAAAAATATGAATCAAACCTTTGGTTTCAGGTTTCTGTAGCATGTAGGTCAGAATTGTCCCCATGTTTTCTGTAATGTTGTGCCTTAAAGGGACAGGGGACCTATTTGTCTTCACTTTGCAGTTTCCTGGGTTTAACGAGCTGAAGAATCTACCTGTTCTTATTCTCATTTCTATTTTAACCACTGAATATCTTCAATTTACCTTATTTATTTGTGAAACAAACCAAAAGTAAAAAAATAAATAAATAAATGCTTGGATAATTAATCAATAGTTGAATATATTTTATTTGATGGAATAATGAATATTAATGATGGTACAATGGTACAATATTAATAATGTAAATACACCGGATTTAACAAGATGCTCATTTCCATTCACAGTCCCATGAAACAAACATGCCATACAAATAACATTAACACATAAAATTACATAAATGTTTTTAAGTTTATTCCCTGTCTCATAGGGAATGGAGTTTCTGGATAATCAGTTGTTCATCAATCTATCCATTTTTTTTCTAATCTATCACCCCTCTTGTATTTTTCATTACTTGCAGATTTCTTATTCAGCACCTGGCCATTTACTATTTATAGTAAATGTTACATAAGCTAAGTAACTCAACCTCTTATTAAAAAAACTATATCCAATAAACCAACAGGTTTTGTCCTGAATGCTGTGGATTATATAGATTTTTTTTCCTTCAGATTTAGGAGATCAAACATCACTTGTGTGGCGTCGCTGTTCTCAAAAAAATCTCTTCCCCAGCCAGCGTTTAGTCTCCATGGCAACCAACAACCATACTTTTCTACGAGTGGTGTTTTGTAGAGACGACATTGAAACATCGCAGCTTCACTTTATTGTAGAAAGTTCCTAGATGAGGGAAAAATACATGAAGTTACAGAAAATATTCCAAAGAAACCACATTTACCACCTGACATGTTTCGTCTTCATGATTTCATCTCACTTACATATCTCAGATTTGATACCACAAAGAATAAATACAAAATGTAGTTTAATTTATTAAGGAAAAAAAAAGTTATTTAAATGTTAAGTCTCCTAAACCTAACAACTGGTTGTGGTGTGTCTCCATAGCAACAACATCCATCAGGGCTTCGTGTTGTCAGTCTGGTTGTATTTAAGTAATTTCTTGTTTCTACAATTATCATAGTTAGCTGTGGATAGTAAAAAGCATGATAATTATGCTTTGAATGAATACATTATTCAAAATGGCTTTGTGTATTTAGTCATTATTTTGTCTAAAATGTCTATGGGGTCAGGTTTTTAACTGATTTTAGTGATGTTTAAATCTGGATTTTTTTTTCAGTTTTAATCTGTCATTTCTTCTCTTCCAGGTTTCCAAACAACGTTCTCTTCACCAGCGCCTCTGGTGAGCTCTGGAAAATGGTTCGAATTGGAGGACAACCTTTAGGCTTCGGTGAGTTCCTGCTGTTTTATTTTGAAGGAGTAGTCGACTTCCTGTAGCTCTTCTTAGTCTGAGAGCTACAGGAAGCTTCAATGGCTCCTAAAATTTAATATCCAATTAATCGGTTATTCTGGATGATTACTTGGATAAAGAAATTTAATTACATAAATAATTTTTTTGATATGTTCCTTAAATGAAAGTTGGGGATCAGTTGTGGATTATGGATTATCCACTGTAATATTTGCTTCTGGTTTTGTATTTTTGCACTTAGAAAACAATGCAAACCGTTTTTGTCAATGTTGAGATGAAGAGTTGATTTTTTTTTTCTGACGTGTTTTGCAGATGAATGCGGCATCGTGGCTCAAATATCAGAACCTCTGGCAACAGCTGACATTCCTGCTTACTACATTAGTACCTTCAAGTTTGACCATGCTCTGGTAGGAAAACCTTAGTAGTCAGTATCTTATATGCAGTAGACAAACACAATGCTTAGCTTTTGGTCGCTAGATGCTGTCTGTTTATAATGGTAAAATTTTCAGCTGAGTGCAGCAGTCTGCCTCTCCTCATTTATCTGTTCAGTCGTTTTATCATCTCTGCTTTCTTACTACCAGACCGTGTGAACTAAGTAACCTTATCTACTAAAACAAAATTTCTTGTTGCCGCTTCTCTTCCAGGTCCCGGAAGAGAACATCCAAAGCGTGATCAGAGCTCTGCGGACCGAGAGCACAGCGCAGTGAACGACCTTGTTTTGTTTAGTTTTTTTGTTGTTTTTCCAGTCATTTCGTTCAAACGTTTATCATTGCCCAAAAAGTGCCAAGAGTGGGTTGCTGTGGATCAGCTCAGAGAAGAAGGAGGCTTCTGCTGCCATCACTGTTGTTTTTCTCCCTGGAGCCCCCTGCTGGCCGCCGGCCGCCACTGCTTTAGTTTGCTACACTTGATGTTTCTTTACCTCTAAAAGCTGCTTCCTCCCACCAGCACCATACTGTAAAACCTACTTCAATCCTCTCAAGGAAGAATGACGAATGTACTCCAAATCAAAGAAATATTCAGTAAGCTCTCCATCTCTCCCCTCCCCCATCGTTTTCTCAGTGCCAATGTGCTTGAACGCCGAACCCGATGCCTTGTCTGACCGCTGCACATTTGCAGTGAAGGAGGCGGTTTCATAGTTAGACTTTTCATTTTATCTTTTAGTCCATGTTAAACTGAACCAGCAATGACCTGACCCAGTGCTTCACACCTTTTGGTTATTATGGGAAGTCTGGTCTGGCGACACATGAAGGAAATCTTAAGATGTGCTTTGAGATGTTTGGTGAATTCACACTGTGAGCAGCCTGGCTGATTTTAGAACTGACTCGAATTTAGCATTAATTACTCTTCATAATCTAATAAATCAGTACTTAAAATTGGAACCTAAAAGATTTGATTTCAGGTGTATATGGAAAACTTTAAAGACACTCCATCATCATTGCACTGTTATTGTTTGGTGTTCACAGGTCAGCTTTACGCCTCCCAAATGAAATATTTTACAAAACTTTGTCTCTAAAACCTAAACTAGTTTCTGGAAAGTTCTTCTCAGTTCCCAGAACTGAGAAGAACTTTAAATAACTTACAAGTTAGTTGTTTTTTTTTTTATTTTAACAGAGACGCATTGTAACAAACCCAACAATTCTCACCAATTTGAAGTTATCAAATTGTAGAAATGTATGGATATGATGTTTTATATCTTATTTCACTATTGTTTCTAAGACATAACAATTTGCATTCCCTTATGTAACCCTTGGCTGTGAGAGTCGAGTCCTCGTTGTTCCCTGGACTCTGCGTTGTGTACTCTTTAAGGTTTTCGTCGGAAGGAAACAAGACTCTGACACACACTGCGGTTTGGGATCGTGGTTGTGACCGTTTATTCGGACCACCTGACAGCGATGCGGCTTCGCCCTTTAGAATGCAGAGCAGAAACTGCTTGTCAACTTTCATTAACGCAGTTATTTTTTATCTTTTGATTTACAGATGCAGAATATATATATAAAAAAAGAAGAAAAGAAGACAAAATGATACAAAACTAACAATGATACAAAACTAACTAGCTGAACATTAAAAGTAACATTTTGTTACATTGAGGAGCTGGCGGTCAGTATTGCCTACCTTTAGAATGCAGAGCAGAAACTGGCCGTTGTATTACCAGCGCACACTAACGAATGCCAAGTACGGTGTCCTTCAGAGGACATACTCCACAAAGCTCCACAACACAAAGAGCAAATCCAACACTGACATGCGCCGACACATTCAAGCACTTCCCTACACTTACATTAGCCAATCTGGAAAAAAATAATCGCCGTAATGCTTCTGCTGGTTACCATATGATGTCAGAATTATTATTCTGGGTCATATATTATTAAATATCATTTAATTTGTAACTATTTTGCTCAACAGAGACATCCAATTGGAAAGAAAAAAAACATGGAAGGAAAAACTAAGTAGCATGAGCACTGACCGCTCTATTAAGGAGCACCAACACTCTTTAATAATAAAAAAAAAAGGTTTAGAAAATAATACAAAAATTATTTTTGGAATATTTAAACTCTGGATCTTGGTCCCTGCATGGAAACAGGAAGTTCCAGCTGTAACTTGTAATTCCACTTCTTGGTAACATTCACCTTTTCAACTTGCTTTCACTTTAATCAAATAGCCATCAGCTACAACCGAAATAACATTTTCTGATTTATCTGTTAAAGTTCTGATTTTAACTTTGGGTCTGAACAGGGAGAGAATCAGGCTCAACACCTTCAGTTCTGCCTGAGTCCCCTGTGAAAACAAGAGCCTGATTTAAATACATTTAAAATTATTTTTATTCATAAAACTGATGTAGAAATTTCAGAAGTTCTCCAGCCAAGAACAAGCAGCTGTTTTTCCATTTCTAGCCAAAAGTTGGTCCTGACTGACTAAAATTTTAAACATCTTGATGAAATCATGAAGTTGTTTTTGACCAGATTAGGAGAGAATACATTTTGAAGACAGAAACGTGAGTCAGCTTGAACCAACATAGCATTAGATACAGAAACAATCATTCATATGAACCATAAAGCATCTGAAGCAAACCAAAATGTTTTCTTCATTTAAATTAACAAAACTCTAAGCTTTCAATGATGCTTTCCTAATGCTTAAATCAACATTTTCACCAGAAACAGCTGGAAACTTAGCTATCTGCTTTTTCCCTTCCCGTCGGGTTTTTATTGCTGCAGAAAGCTGCAAAATAAAAACTTCACAGATTAATGCGTCCTTAAGGCATTGCACGATGATCTTTAAAAACTTTTTGATTAAAACAATTTTATAAATAAATTATGTGCTGTTTATCCATCAGACCACTTTTAAAACTCCATTGTTGGGCCAATCAGTTGATCCTTTTTGAGTTGTACACTACATTAAACAAAAAAAAAATCCTTCAACTATTATCAAGGGTTTAAAGAAGATAATTAGGACCACTGAATAAAAACAGAATTTTGAATTTAATCTCAGAATTTAGACTTTTTTTTCTGAATTAATTCTTTGAATTCTAATTCTGCGTCAAAATATAATAATGACTTAGCTGTTTCTTCCTTGTTTTAGAATTGTAAACGTTATCCACACTAGAAGCCTGTACCTAGATTTGAGTTTTCAGACTAGATTTGGATGAAATTGTGCATAAACAATTCTGAGAAAAAAAAGAAGTTACAATTCTGAGATTAAAGTCAGAATTCTTTTTTTAGCGTCTCTAATCTGTTTCACCTCAGAACAGGCCAATAAAAACCTGCACTCTGCGATGTTTTCCTGACGCTGGCGTTGCTCACAGTGTGACGCCGCAGTGAGACTCGATGAATGGTGATCTACAGTCGTAATAAATTACTGAGCCACTTTGAAAATGTGCTGAACATAAGCTACGGTTCACAGGGGGAAGGAAGGCTCCTCTCTGACCCCTGGTGTCCATTTAGGTCTTGAAGCCGCCCCCCTCCGGCTCTAGTCTGCACTTTAACACAGGTCCCCCCCCCACACTGACCTGCTGTACTGATGTGAAACCAGAGAGGACTTCTCACTTCACGATGATTTTATCCATGTGGAAGAAGTTGTGACGATGTTCTCCCTGGCCTTCAGCCTCTGATCAGATTAGTAGAAATCATGTCTATCAGTGTTAAAACTCCAGGAAGGTAACTTTTGTTTTTCTGATTGCATTTCAAAGAAACATGTTAAAAGCTTTTCACTTGGAGCTTCTCGTGTGAAAACAAAATAAACGAGCTGTTTTGTTTGTTTTTTTTCTATTGAGCCTCTGTGTTTTTACTTACCAGGTGCAATCTGATTTTCAAATCCTCTAGGATTACTTATGGAGAGAAATAAAGGAAAGAGATTAGCTTCAACTCCTGGTGATTTTACTGGAACTTTATGTAATAAATCAGCAAAGGGTTGAGAGATAAACAGATTTTAAATAATCCAATTTTTGGTTTTTGAAGATGTGATTTGTGGAAAATTTTGATTTTTTTTTTTTTAATAGTTCAGATTTATGTCAATATATCCAAGGCAGCCATCTTGTTTGACAAGCGTGTTTTACAGCTTCTATTTATTTGGACTTGAAATTCAGTTTAACTTTACGACAAAATAAAGCAATGTTACCAGAAAACTGTTGTAATGCGAGAATAAAGTGTTAAAATGACCAGAATAGACATTTTTGGAGAAAACAATTGAAAAATTAATTATTCAAGCTTTTTTGTCATTAAAACAGCTTTTTTTCCTCATAATTTTAAGATGTTCATAATTTTAAGATGTTCTAATGGTAAAATTAAAATTTTATCCTGCAAATATTAAGACACCGTTCTGATAAATAATAAATTCTCATAGCCCTAATACCCACAGAAGGGATGATTGAAAATAAAACTTGCTTAAAAAATCTGTCCCAGGTTTGTTCAAATCTAGAAGTGAAACCAGATAAAGTTCATAGGTCGCTATAAAATCATTTAAAAACATATCCAGATAATGAAAAACAAATCTATTCGCATTTTACCAAAATAAGGTGCAAAAAGTTATGTGAGAGCAACTCGAGAGAAACCTTACAGTAGAGTTGGGAAACTACAAAATAACATTTTAACAGGAAATCTGAAACTAAAGTATTGATTTTACCTTGCTAGCATCAATCTGTTGCTGATACCGACTTTGTATCAATATTACAAATATTTTTTATCAAGCCAAAATATTTGATCCAAACTAATTTTGTTTAGTTTGGATCAAACTAAACAAAATTACTGTCAAACATTTGTGCAGCATAGGCACTTGTTTGTGCTGCTATCATTTTAAAGATATTAACAAAATGACCAGAGGTAACTCACCCGTCTCCTTCCTCCTGCTTCCTATGATGCGGCTGCTGGGCTCACCTCTGACCCGACCTGAACAAAAAGAGAATGGTCAAGGCGGGGTTACAGGAGCCTGTGTGGACCGTTAGCGTTATCCCTCATGATTGTCTTACCTCTTACATAATCCTGTGGATCGTCTGCGAAATCCCCCAGGTACCTGCAGTTATTCAGCTGAAAGGTCCAACTGCTCCTAACAGCAGTTGGACCTTTCAGGAAATCACTGTGCTGAGGTCAAAGGTCACAGCTTCAAATCACATAGCAAACATCTCAAACTTCCTCTATCTTTCTTCCAAGCACCAGACTTTCTTGATCTTTATCAAAACTTTTTTTTTTCTGACGTTTTGGCTGTTTAGTTCATTTTCTGTCCAGTTCTTGATAAAAATAAAAAGAACCACATTACAATCCCTGACAGAAATATTCACATCCTTTCAACACTTCAGGAATCTGTACAGAATTCTACTCTGGTTCCACTTTGCTCTCAGTAGCTGTGTTTTCTCTGACCATTTATTTGTCAACACATATTTTGATAACTCTCGAAGCTTTTTCTCATAATTTTACGTTCTCGTAAAGTCACATTTTTAGTACTGTTAGTCTTGTGACTAAATTCTTCTAACTAAATAAAATTTCTTGTAGCCCTAATTCTCTGTACAACTCGCAGAAAAGATGCGTAAAATACAAGGCATTTTCTGAAAATATTTTCTGTCGCTGTAATTTTCTTTTGTAAAGAAAAGAAAAAAAGATTAAAATCAGATCTGGTATGAAAATAAGATTTTATTTTTATTTTTTTTTTTTAAGCCAAAGCGCCCAGCGCTGGGATAAACTGATTCAGTGAATTATCAGGTTTTATTCATCCAGCCGATCTCAGATACTAACAAGATTAGTGGAGGAAGATCTCGCAAAAAAAATGATATGGATGCATAAAATAGAACAAACTGAATTAACATCAGGCTATGCTTATTATATACATCTTTTATTTATTTGCAATTTTTTTTTTTTTTTTTAGCAAAAATGGTCAGTTTCAGATTACATTATTACAACCTGAGCCCATTTTCTGCTGCATAATAATCCATCCGATCATTATTATTATTGCAGCTCAAACACAAAGTCCAGAAGTACCAAAAACAACCAGAACCCGATTCCTCAGAACCGCTTCCTTTTCCAAGCTCTTTGCCGTTTCTCTTCCTTCGTGTCGTAAATAATCTCCATGTGACGCAAAACGACCGACTGGAGATTTAAACTCGGCGGAAAAAGTCTATTTAATGAGTCCAGATTCAGTCTGGAAGTAAAGAGCTGGTTCTGGTTCCACCTTCAGTCGTCACCTGATGGATCCCAGCTCACAGGAGAGACTTCACCAGCGCCACCATGTGGTCCACACCGCACGCTACATCCACCACCTGACCTGGAACGGTCACCTTTACAGAGAGACGCACAGATCAGAACATAAGCAGCACAAACCGTTTCCATCTTTCTGTTCACACATCAGTTTATTTTGATTCCTGGTGCGCTCCAAACCCCGCAGGGTTTCCACGGAGACTTCCACGCCCTCAAATCCTGTTTAAATGCTAATGTACGTCTGCGGAGGTGAAATGAAAAGCTCTCCGGGGGAACAAGCAGGTTCAGAGGTTTAAAACAGCGAGACAATCTTTTTCAGATGTGAAACGTTAAATAAACCGTCGGGTTCTGGAGTTTTACAACAACATACAGAAAATATATCAGCAGAGAACAGAAACTGTGAAAAATCTGCTGCCGGCTGTTTGATTTTATCATTTTTAAGTCCAAACGGCTCAGTATTCTGTCACAATCAGGTACAAGAACGACACTGAAGAGCCTCAGAAATACAGATTAAGACTATTTTAAAGTGAAAGTTTGGCTGCTTGGAGCAAAGTGTGTTGAAAGCGTTAGTGGTTTAAAATTTTTGCACAGTACTCTTCATATAGTCATGGGAAGAAGAAAGCCCTCCATGTCAGCTCTAAGGTTTTAACATCAGGAGCCTCATCTATAAATGTCTCATTTAGAAAGAAACTGGCCAAGAAAAAAAAACCTACGGCAAAATATGTTACACACAACTCATGTAGAAAGAAAAAAATGTGTTGTTAATTTTTTTCAGTCAACAACAAACCTAATTACACTGAAAATATTCTTGTATTTCCTGTAATTAACCAGGTAGACCCCGCTGAGATCTAGACCTCATTTTCATGAAAGACCTGGACACTGAAAGTATTTAGCTCAAAGTTCATCAAACCTATTGTTTTTTTTATTTTTTCATCTTTTATTGATTCAACTTAAGAAAATGAACTGCATTTGTCTTCCTACAACATTCTTACACACATAAGCCTGTCATGGCAAATTTTGATGGCAATAAATTGTCCCAGAAATGATTGCGGTAAATGATAATATTGTCATTTTGAGATCATTTTTAACTAATATAATAATAATGGCATAATAATGCAAGTTTGCCCTGTCAAAGGTTTCTGTAACTGGAAGATATTTCAAATATTCAAAATAAAACCACCCAAAACAATAAAAAGCACAAACAACTGAAACCATAAATAACATGGATTATGAAGTCTCTATAAACAAAATGACCCTTCAAAAAACAGTCATCATCAGAACAGCTGATGTAAAACAAGATAAGTTTGTTCTGATGTAATGTCAAACATTGAAAATAAAAAGTTTCTGCATCTTTTAGGTGTTTGGAGCATGAATCTGTCACTAAACCTATAACAGCCAACCAAATATTGCATCCAAAAGTTCCTTTATGAATTATTACAAACGTGACTACAATTTGAAAGCTTTATAGATGAAGACAAGATGGAGACGGCTGTAAAAGACAAAGCTAACCCTAAATACCCGACTTGTACAACATATTTAAAATCTTTAGCCTAAAAACTAAATAAAATGTGATCTGTGTTCTTACCCTCCAGGGGAAGAACTGGTCATCTTTCTTTCCGATACCCAAGCAGCCTCTGACGTTCTTCCCCCAAACGAAAAGTTCACCTCGATCTGAAAACCAAACGGCGACATCAAAGCTACGCACTTCAGTTTGTAACGTCTCGTCTCAGAGTTAAAGGTCTGTCACAGCAGGAGTCGGCATTATATTTTAAATAGAGAGAAAAAAAATAAAAAGGTAGCAAGCAATAGGATTGATATGTCTTCTTCAATGGGATCCTGATATTTGTGACGCATAGTTTCCAGTTTCCAAAATGATAAATGGAACCAGAAAAATTGATCTATAAATACATTATCGGTACTTTTAGTCTCACGTAATAAAAATATTTAATGAAATGAAAAACTGGTAAAATCTGGATTTGTCATTCTACCTAGTTTGGAAAAATCATTAAT